CGTAAGCGCGATAAGTTAACGGTGGTTCGTACACCGAGGACGTACGAGAGCACCTCTCTCTCGGCCGCCGCTATACGCTCCCTTTTTTTCTCTTTTTTTATCCTCCCCTCGGTGGCGCTTTCCTTCCCCTCTCGCACTTGTTCGGGCCTCATGCGAAGTGCCAGGACTGGTGGTTCTCGCCGAGTGCCATCGCGAGCTGAGTGCCACCGACTCGACCGGTGCTTAAGTGTTCTAAAAAACGAGTGATTTAAGAAGAAAGAGAGAGAGAGAGATAGTGGAAAGAAAGAAGTGATCTTGAAACGTAGTTAAGGGTGTGTATTAAATTGCCTCTCGTCTCATCTCTCTCGGGGATGTTGATATGATATGAATGCATAGTGTAAATATATTTCCCCAATAATACACAAAGGCCACTGTACGCACGCACGCATCAGCGCATTGAACGTATTTCTTATCCAAGCTATTCTGTCAATGACGGTGGATTTGCAGTGACGATGGCAGTGCTCCCTCGAACTCTGGATTGTAGATTTTGGATTACATTGACCTAAGGATGCCTCAGAATTTAGGTAAGTGTGATAAGAGAGCTGCGAGGACAGAGGAAGAAGGGCAGAGTCTGAGTCTGAGTGTTTGCACCTGCCACTTTCCTTCCCCAATTTCTCCCTCTCTTTTGAGCTATGTTAACTCTCTCTCTCTCTCTCTCTCTCTCTCTCTCTCTCTCTCTCTCTCTCTCTCTCTCTCTCTCTCTCTCTCTCTCTCTCTCTCTCTCTCTCTCTCTCTCTCTCTCCCTCCCTCCCTCCCTCCCTCTCTCCCTCTCCCTCTTCCCCTCTCCTTCTCCCTCTCCTTCTCCCTCTCCGTCCGCCCCCCTCCCTCCCTCCTTCCTTCCCTCCCTCCCTCCCCTTCTCCCTTCCTCCCCCGTCTCCTCTCTCTCACTCTCTCCCACTCTTTCCTCCCCATCCCTCCCACCCATCCTCTCCTGCCCAACCCGTCTCGTAGACCCTCCTGTCCTGGGACGCAGTCTCATCTTATCATTTGTCTTTTCTCCCCAAAGGTGTAGCTTTACGACGTCTAGTCTACATTACCGAGATGTGATCACATTGCACCGCTGCATCGCTACCCTCGTCTGGCCTAGAGTCTTCTCTGTTTGCCTCTTGTCCTGCTGTGCTTGTCTCTTTTAGTCTCTCTGGTCTACTGCCCTGTCCTGCCCTGCCCTACCCTACCCTGCTACGTGTTCATTTGTCCCCCGTGCTTTTACCCTGCCAACTGGAGTACACCGTGTAATCCCAGGAGTACATGTTCTCTGGATGTGTCACACCAACGCATGCCTGGGGAGGAGGACCAGGAAGAGGGAGGGTGAGGGGGGAAGAGGAGGAGGAGGAGGAGGAGGAAGGGTGAGGGATGAAGGGGAGGGGGTAAGGAGATGGAGGAAGAGGGAGGGAGAAGAGACATGGAGGAAGGAGAGGAGAAAAGGAAGGGGTGAAGGAAAAGGGGATTGGGCCGGGAGGAAGGGAAGGGTGAAAGGAGGAGGAAGGGATGAAGGATGAAGGAGAGGAGAAAGGGAAGAGAGGGAAAGAAAAGGAGGAGAATGAAAAGGGAGAAGGGGATGGAGTAGGGAAGAGGGAAAGGAGGAAGATGAGGAGGAGACTGAGGTAAGGGAATAGGAGAAGGAGAGTGTTCTGTAGGGAATGTGTGATTCCCCAAAGACTAGGCGGGTATGGTTATTACAGTGCATTATTACCTCGAGGGAGAAATATCACATTGGCTGGTTGTTAATTTGGCTTATTACGGGTTGAGTGGACAGAGGTACGCGACCGCGGGGGGAGAAAAGGGGTTGGTAGGGAAGGATAAGAAGAGAGAGAGAGAGAGAGAGAGAGAGAGAGAGAGAGAGAGAGAGAGAGAGAGAGAGAGAGAGAGAGAGAGAGAGAGAGAGAGAGAGAGAGAGAGAGAGAGAGAGAGAGAGGGAGAGGGAGAGGGAGAGGAAGGGAAAGGAAGGGAGAGTGAAGTGGTAGATTGCTAGGAGAGGAAAAGAAAGAAAGAATGTAGAGATGGAAGGAGGGAGGGAAGGAGGGAGGGAGAGAGACAAATTAATAAATTGTAGTTATTGAATCCATGAATGTAAAATCTTTCTATTAAGCAGAACCGGAAGACAGTTTTGAGGGCTCGTAAATAATGCAATACCTGCGTTGAAGACTTGATCCAGTCCATTGATTGGATATTGTTATGGGCTATGACGACGCAACATTGTGTGTACCACAAAAGGAGTGCGTAGACAAAGAGACACTTAAAAGCGGACGATAGAAGGGGCGAAGAAAAGAGAAAAAGGAAATAGAAAGGAGAAGAAAAAAGGAGGAGGAGGGATTATTAAATAAGACCTGACCGAAGGCGATTGGTTGTGATTGAAAGAGTAAACATGGGGGATGGAAAGGGCAGAAGGTGAGGTGGGAAGCGATAAAAGGACGACGAGAAAGAACTATGGGGAGAAAGAGAAAGAGCAACGGGGAGACGGAGAGGAGGGAAGCGAAGATGACGTTCAGATGGATAAGTGAAGCGAGATGAGATGATTGGGAGATGACAGACGAGCGATTACCAAAGGTTAAGGTGGAGTCTGTAATGGCGCGGGGATGGAAGTACGTGAGAATGTGAACTGTAGCAAGGGAGAGCAAGAAAAGAAGGGAGTGAGGGGGAATGACACGAAAAGGAAGGGCAAAAAGGGAAAGAAATGAAAGGAATTAATATGAGAGAGGAAGAAGAAAAAGGAGAGCACGTATGAAAGGGAAGAATAACAACCATATTGTCAATCCGGGTAGAAAACAAACAGAAGAAAAAGACACAATAAATGAAAGGCAACAGAAGATGAAACGTCGGACGGAGAAGAGAACGCTCCTTGCACGAGACAGAGCGACGCCTGTGGGCATTGAGACCGTGATTGGAGACACGAATTTTGTGGGGTCATTGAAGAGCAGGAGCGGGGCGGAGGGAGAAGGGGCGAGAATGGGGCATGAGGAAGGTGCAGGAGGAGAAGGGGAAGAAGAAGGGAAGAAAGAAGAGGAGAAGGAGGAGAGGAAGAAAAAGAAGTTGGTGGTGGTGATTGTTGCGTTGAGGATGAAGGGGACGAAGAAGAGAAACTGGTTGTGGAGGTGAAGGTGCTGGTGACCGAGGAGGAGAAAGAGGAGAAGAAAAGAGGAAAAAGGAGTAGAAGCGCATGTGCGAAACGGTTAGGAAGAATTTGAGGAAAGGCAGAGAACTTCATAAGCATTCCTTCTTTTTGGCTCTGGCTTTGACTGGAGTCTCCGTTCAGGATGACTTACTTTTCGTCAATGGAAACCAGGGTGTACGTCGAGGAAAAAAAATAAAGAGAAGAACAGAGAGAGAGAGAGAGAAAGAGAGAGAGGGGGGGGGCAGACTTTTGTGTTGATTTTCCGAGCCTTGTTCAAAGTAATTAAAAAAAGGAGATTTATGGAAGTGAAGCGCTCAGTCATAGGCAAAGGCGTGTGTGTTTATGCGCGTGTGTGCGTAAATATCACACAGAACCCTCTACTCATTACAGTTTCTGTGATGCCGTTTACTCATGGCCAAGTAAATAACTGAAGATATGTGCCTGGAAACTTATAATGCCATTAAGCACGGTTGTGCCCTTTATTAAGTGGAGAGAGAGAGAGAGAGAGAGAGAGAGAGAGAGAGAGAGAGAGAGAGAGAGAGAGAGAGAGAGAGAGAGAGAGAGAGAGAGAGAGAGAAAAAGAGAGAAAGAGAGATTTAGTGAGAATGAGAATGAATTACAGTACTGAGACGTGAGCATAGCCCGGGAGGAAACAAATGAGCATCAAGGAGACGGTGCCAGTGGAGTAGACAGGAGTAGATAACAGAGGGAAAGGGGGAAGGAGAGTGTGCCAGAGTGGATTTGGAAGGGGTATGGGAGGGAGGGGGTAAGATGAAGGGGGTCGATGATGGTAGTACCGTGAGTTGGTAGAGGCGGATCCTTGCCTCTTACCAGGATACTTAGGTGTCCTTGAGAAGCTGGTGGTGGTGGTGGCTGGGTAGGGCAGGCGAGGGAAAGGGGAGAAGAGTGGTGAGAGGGAGGGAGGGGAGAGGGGAAAGAGAGGAAAGGGGAGAGGGGAGGGAGGAAAAGGGGACTGGGGGACGGGGGGAGAGAGCAGAGGGGAGGGAGGTAAGAGGGGAAAGGCTTATAGTCGCGTGACCCAGTGCATTAGTCTCATGTACTCTGGAGTGAGTGCTGGCGCTTGGTTCTCTCACTTTATGAAATGTTGTACTGATGATGTTCTGGAGATGAAATTTATCTCTGTGTCGTTACATCACATTGCAACGGAAGCAAGTTGGTGTTGCATTGGCAATGGTACTGTGAAGTGGCACTGTCCGGCGCGTTATGTGCTGGGGGTTTCCTGTCACTCCGCTAAACCTAAATGCTGTGCTGTGATGGAGGTCGGCACTTGCGGGTCGGCTGGCACTGCGGCGGCACTCCTGCGGGGAGGCAGGTGGCCTGCGTCGACCCAAGGTCCTCGAGATCTGTACGAGGCCAGGCAGGTGGTTGTGGCTTCTCCAGCCTGGCGGCGTTGGCGCTGCAATGGTCGCTCTACCGTCGCTGCTCACGCACGGCAGCGTCCGAGTTCGCGTAGTGCCACTCGGCTGGGCTCGCCGGGGATATGGGCTGGCACCAAAATAAACGCTCAAGGCCCTATCCTGCAAGGCTGCTGAACACCGGAAATATTGATGGCGGTCGTGCCACTTAGTGGCCGAGCTCATGCCCACACCAGCCTGGGTAGCCACGCGTGCATGCGATACACATTCACACATACAAATACGTATGTTCGCTCGCATGCATGCACATGCATACTTAAAAAAATACAAGCACACACACACACGCACACACACACCCACACCCACCCACACCACACACCACCCACACACAGACAGACACACACACAGACACACACACACACAGACACACACAGACACACACACACAGACACACACACACACAGACACACACACACACAGACACACACACACACACACAGACACACACACACACACAGACACACACACACACAGACACACACACACACACACACACACACACACACACACACACACACACACACACACACACACACACACACACACACACACACACACACACACACACAGAGCCACGGCCACGAGACGCCACACAAGCTAGCAACAAACCTCACGTTCTTCACGTCCGCCGCCGCGCGGTGTCCTACGGGAAGCCGCACTCACATACCACGGCGGCAGCGCCACGACTGAACGCAACACAAACTAACACATTGCGACGCGACGAGATCCCAAACACAACACAGGAGAACTCGACACGACGCTACACGACAAGGCGCGACGCGGCACGACCCTCTTACGTGACGGAGAGGAGAAATGAGGAGTTAAATTAGCCTGTAATGTTGTCACGACCACAGGAGATTTACCGCATTCCTCGAGTTCGCCGCTCGACCGCGGGCTCGGAGGTGCTGGATCTCGTCTGCTCATTTAGTTAATATATTTGTTTATTTGTTTATTTATTTACGCATTTGTCTATTGT